TTTCCCTACTTCTAACTCACCAGGGAAAATCCTGCAGTCAGAGGCACTGCTTTTCCCACTTCTCAGGAGGTACAAAGAACATGGAGAAACCCCCAAACTTCCTGGTGAAGGTACATACGTAGGAGGACAGACTCAACTGGAAGTATTTTGTCTATCCAATCTTGGCAACGTATCTCACTAGACTGCCAGTCCTGCCTATTTTAGCTTGTGAAATTCTTTTAAACATTGATTCAAATGCAACAACAGACCAAGACGGGGATATCCAGGAGTAGTCACCGTCCCCAGACACACACAAGAATGCCATCACAGGATTAGGAAAGCCCAGCTGCAGCTCCCCACAGAAACTACAGCCATCTTCAACTTGTGTGATGGCATGAAACAAATCTTAACTAATGTTCAGGAGCAGAGAGACACTTCTCTCAACCACAATGCAAGGTGGCTGGCAGTCTGCAGGCGGGGAGCTTGAGGGACATTTGGCTGCAGGAATAATTTCAGCAGTTCCAGGTGAACTGATTCCCCTCCAAGAGTTTGTGCTGCCACGTACCAACCATCCCATGCTCACCAAACTGGGAAAGGCTGTTCAGGGTAACTGGAACTCAGTGTAATTAACACACGCTCCCTGAAAAACAGAAAAGGCTTCGGTACAATATACAGTAAACTATAGTTCAAAGAAAACCAGCAATTTCTATGTTTCCTATTCACTCCATTGCTCTGCTCCCACAGAAACCACCATCCACATCAGGTATGAATTCAAAGCAGCTCCCCTCTTGCAAAATGTTGACATCTGGTTCATCAACACCCAAGCCCTTAGGACACAACAGGGATACAGGATACTCGCCTGGGCTCCCCTTTCAGGCCCCTATTCTCAGCCCTACAAAAGTCCAGCCATGCCCTCACCAGGTGTCAGTTTCCTTCCTGAATTCTGGGGTTTGCTGAAGCAGCTCAGAACAAACCCATCCCATATTTTGTTTAAAAAACAAATTAGCTAAACTAGTGAAAACTCCCTAATAGGGACTCATTTCTGCGAGTGTACACAGCTTTCACTTAATTAACAAACTCTGTAGCTCCAAGCTAAGCGGAGGAATGGCAAGTAACCGCACGTAGCAGTACCTTGCACAAGGGCAGAAGCTGGGGATGACATTTCAAT